ATAGTTAGACAGATATCGTGATGTATCATTATAGAATTGTCTAGCAATATATCGATTATCGCAGAATCGCGATATTATTGTATCGTGAGCCATGTATCGTGATTCGTATTGTATCGTATTGTGAGGTACCCTGCGATTCCCACCCCTAATAAAAAGACAAGCTTAACCTACCATCTTGCATTAAAAACGATAATTTTCAATCCATAGTGATAGGAATATGAAATTACCAGCATGGTTCTACAAAAAAAAAAAAAAAAAGCAGCATTAAAAAATATATGCATGTTTTAAAGTGTGCTGATGTGTTGCAATTTATAGCACTGAAAGCCTATTAGACAGTGCTGGTGATCTGTGGCTCAACCACTCTTGACTGGTTACTGCACCTAGACCATCCTGCAATGACTGAGAGATTTGACAGACCCCAAATGGAATCAATAGATTAATAAGGATTCCTCACAGCTAGTATTAGCCAAGTGACAAACAGTGATAAGAAACATTTCACACAACTGATGAGAACATTTTTCAAGTCGGTGATTCGAGAGCTGCATGCTATCCTTTCGGGGTCGTTAGTTTGAACACTCAGGGGCCATGTTGTTATTGACCTTCACGGGCCTCCTGAAAACTAGTGGGAAAATCCAGGTCTAGACAGAACAGTAGCCCCCTGGCATTTTGGATGGACTCTCTAGGAGAGTTTGTGGCTTGTTAATTCCTAGCCGTGGCGGTCCATCAGGACAGCAGAGCCGGTGCATATTGAGAATTCCTCAGGGGACACAGATGGGTCACAGCGGTTCTGTACATTGCTGGCACTGGTCCCAGTCCCTTCCCGCACCACCACCCATGTGATAAAAAAGTCCTGTCTACACCTTCATAACTCTCTTCCCACATCAATGCATCACACACATCTGAGAATGAGAATGAAACACTTGAGACTATCAGCCTACTTGTTAGTTCCACACATAACTATAAAATACTTGCTGATAACATTTAATGCGGGTGTCTGTCACTATAGTGGATATGAACTAGCGCTTGACAAATACAGGTAGGTATTTCAATAGTCAATGCAAAGCAACAAAAAAAAAATATCTAGAGAAGGGGTGGCTAAATATACACTATCATTTATGTTCGAAGTCAGTATTTTTTATATTTATTTATTAATACTTTGCAATAATGCATTAATTTGAACATGTGACAGTAAAATCATTTTAATGTTGCAAAAGATCATTTCAAATAAATGACGTTTTTTGAACTTTCTATTCAACAAAAAAAATTCTAGTGAAAAAAAGTACCATGTTTCCACAAAAATATTAAGCAGCACAACTGCTTTCAACATTTATAAATATAATTTATGTTTCGTAAGCACAAATCAGCATATTAGAATTTATTCCTACTAGTTCTCTGAAAGATGATGTGACACTGAAGTCTGGATGGCTGCTGAAAATTCACCTCTGCCAAATAATAAATTTAGTTTTAAAATATATTCAATACTATAATAATATTTACATGTATATTTTAAAAATATTACAGTTTTACAGTATTTCTGATTACATAAATGCTGCCTTGGTGAACATAAAAGAAATGAAACACAAAAACATGAACAACTCTTTTGAATGGTAGTGCATATAACAAGTAAAGTTCCTTTTACACATTTTTTTTACACAACCACTAAAAAAAAAAATATATATATATATATATATATAAAGAGTATTATATTTAATTATTACATGAACAATTTTATATTGTGTAATAATTTTATATGAACAATTAAGATATAAATTATCATTATTCATATTTAAATCCACTGATGATGAAGGGAGTCCCCCTATGTGCTATATCCTACAATATATCCATCAGGCCATCAGATTTCATCAGTCTGACAGGCCAGACTCACTGAAGGAACGTGGCGGTGAGGTAATATGATTCGAGAACGTGCTGGCATTAACACCTCTCGCTCTACTCTGAAAACAGATACGTCTCCTTGAAAGAAAGCACATCTGATTCAGAGCCAAAACCCTCTATCATCTGTTATAGCATAATTTATTTGCGCAGTATCTCCACACCTGCAGCAAACAAACAAAACTGCCATAAATAACCCATTACCATCATCATAATCTTCATCAACAGCCTTGAATCATTTTATGGAACAAATGATCTCGGACTTCAACATAAGCATAAAGAGCAGGGAAGGTTATCTCTGTGACGGTGCTGATACGGGTTACCTTCGGTCACCTCCGAAGCTGAATTATATCACAGCATGCAGTGAAGACTTATCTTTAAACAACACAGAGCTGCCAGCTGACTCGCAGCTTGTGATCTGAGGAAATGATAAGATCGTCAATTGTGTTCCTAATAATGGAATGAAGACATGGATCACAACCAGACACTGCTGGGAACGGACTTTTTGGTGACTTGGTGACCATAAGACAAACAAAAACAAGCCAAAAATGTTAATAGTGAAGCACTTACAATTAAAGTCTATGGGTCAACTGTCACACTCGCACAGATTTTCACATAAGGTATGTCTGTCAACATTTTTATGTTTGCTTTTTATATACTGTCGGGTTCCCACAAGATTTTCTAAGACTTCTCCAGTTGTTTATTATTGATAGCATTATTATATGACTTTTTCTATGCAAATAAATACTTTAGATTGAGCATAACTAAAAAACATTCTATTGAAATTTCAGTGACTGTTATAGTTTTGATTAATTTCTGTGGCTTTTGTAGGCATAGGATTCCCAGGATTGTGGGAAACCTGAAACTGAGGAAACATTATTTCTGTTGTCAAAATTATTTACTGTGGTAAATTACAGCATGATACTGTCCATAGCTTAGTTTGTATTTAATTAAGAATTTACATTTAAATACAATTATTCCACAATTTAAACGGTTTTTGGAAATTAAAGGACATTTCGGAGACCACAAGTTACATGTACTATAGTCACTGAGCGTGAACTAGTAACACAAAAAAAGATCAAGATTGAAAAACTGTATTTTCTTCTCCTTTACTAGCACATTAAACTGTCAGAGTCCTTTGAATATGCAAAAAGGAGGTTGATAAAATAAACCAGAACACTTAACACTCAATTTTACAAGCACATAAACACTTTTAACATGCCTAGTAAACGCAGTCCAGTGTGTCTAGAATCCAAGACCATTTTAATGAATGACACACGCTCTTCAATTAACTAATAATACAAAAATTATCAACTTTTTAACTGCAGATATCTGTCTGACTGGTGAAATACATTCTCCTCTACTTCCCCAAGGCATTTCAGCCATAAAATAAAACGATAACGCCCTTTCCATGTCAGCTTTGATCCATAGTATCCCAGTGATCACTCCAGAGAGAATATGAAGAGTCAGTGATATCCGATTTCTGAACGTTTCCGAAGGGAACAATGCGACATTTGTGTCCTAATTGCTGTAATGAAGGTAGATGAACAATGGCAGTCCGTGTATCAATCAAAGAAACTTCCATGCAGTTTCAACAGGTTGTTTGTGGAGCTTTAGTTTTGCCATTTTCAGCCTGTATCTTCACATTCACATTAACTTAATCTAAAGCAGCAGGGTAACTGTCTCACGACCTAGTGAGCGGCCACTTTTTGAGCAATGAACGCGCCTATGATGCCTAAAAATGCTGCCTAGGTAGGGTTTTGAGGGACAGCCGTTGTATGAGCTTGGTTGGTATGCCCTAAAAACTCCAAAAATAGTTAAACACAGAACGTATAAATCCTATAAACAGTCTCTTCGATGTTTATAGAGTTGAATTTCAGAGAAATTAGAGCTTGCTTTAGTGTTTTGCTAAATATATTTGCATTGCTAACACTGCTAGCTGGCCACTTCCCGAAGTGCAGCGCTGCTTTCTTTCCCAGGCAACCTGTTGCAAACAACACTTACGCCGCGTTTAAACGGCCAAACAACTTTAAAGAGTCGCTTAGCTTACCTCTTCAGTTAGATATGCCGTCCCTTTAGTCCAGTTAGTGTATAAATACTCCCAAACAAGCGGTTTTATTCACAGAATAGCGCTTGAGATTGTTGTCATGTTGTGTGACAGGTCGCCGCGGCTCCAGAGTCTCGGTACTGACTGACGGAGAGCGGCTCAACAGCGCCTCCGGCAACCGCATGAGACGACGCTTCTGATTGGACAGATCCACCATCATTAAACTCCACCGTCCAATTAGGTGTGGTTTTCCTTGCGAATGTCGAGCGGACGAGAAACCGGTCAGTTTCGGCTTGGGTTTTTGAGGCTTGTTCGGTTTTTAAATTTTAGCCACTTTCAGTATTGTAGAACCAAAACGTTAACAAAAAAACATTCAGCAAAGCCTTATGGGTTAGCAAATTGTCCACTTTGAATAGTGTATGTTCAGACATTAATTTTACAAACTGCTTTCTGCGTGTTAAATTGTGCAGAAGAATGCAGATATTTTTATTTTATTTTTTAAAAGATGTCCAATTAAATATAAGAGAAAACTTTAATAATGCTTAAAGGAAACAGCTTATATTTCAAGACTATGGCATCTCTTATCAATACAAAAATAAATAAGTAAATATAAATAAATAAATAAATAAAAAGGTGTGAACGTCCAGAAGACCCAAATTTCGGTTCAGGCGCAGGAAGAAAGAAAGAAAGAAAGAAAGAAAGAAAGAAAGAAAGAAAGTGTGCTCTCTGAAGTGACAGCTCCAAAAATGTATTTTCCCAAAAATTACTTTCCAAATATTATCAGGCATTGTGCCTGTTGAAGACCTGAGTGGTCAAATCATTGTTTGGAAAATGTTTTTGGAGCTGTAAATTCAATGTGCATACTTTTTTTCTTGTTTTTCTTTCTTTATTACTTAATATTTATTAAGTATTTTTTTTTATATTTGATTTAATACAATTGTGAATATTGTATATTATTAAATAATAAACATTGATCATATATGCATGGAAATAAACAGATTTGGAGAACTCAAGTCAATCAGCTTTCAGTGTTTATTTAAAAAATGAAACTGAATCACGTCTTTACATAATGATCAAGAATTTTAATTCTCGCATTAGATCATTATTACAGAAAATGATATTATAGTACAGAGGTTTTCAATATCTTTTCAGTACCATAGTATATTCCTCAGGAGTGCTGGTCACTTGTCTGTACAATATCACTCTTGCATTTTTTTTTACTGTACATTGGATGTAATTCATTTAAAAAGGCAGTCAGCACTTAAATAAGCTGTCTTCATCTTCAAAGTTAAACAAATAAAAGTTTCCAGGGAGCTCAGCCTCTAGGATTGGGCCGGGCGAGTTTAAATGTAAGGGTAGTGTGTAAAATAGAGAGTAATAAGGGCAGAGCTATGAGGGCCAGTTTACTATGAAGTATGTTCCAGACTGATGTATAGCCTGTAGCACAGGACATGCCTCCGGGCGCGCTAAAGTAGCACAGAATTTACACAGACCCCCACCGACCGGTCATCGTTTCCACACAAAGTCTGTGCCACCCGGCGGCGCGACCACAAGACCTTCCCCCACAGCCATGGCTTTTGGCACTGCGCACATAAACACGACTCACAAGATAAACGACAAGCAAAGCGGTTTTGTAAACCCTTTATGAAGCATAATGAAGTCTTTATGGAGCATATAATACTAAAGGGAAAGATAGCTGGGTCACCTTGTTGCACTTTGAGGAGAGATGAAAAGATCCAGCTCCTGTCATTTTGAAGAGCTTTTCATTCCTCAGTGACATTTTCTACCGATGAGAAAATAAGCTTTCTGATGTATGTGTGACAGGCGCCAACAGCTGTCTATTAAAATACTACGGCCATCTATAAGTTCTAGCATTGAACACACAAAGCAATTGCAATGAAAGAGAACAGAGTTGCTTAATATGATAATATTCATCATTATATGAATAATCATAATAATTATAACAATATATTACAGAATAAATCTCTTATATTTCATATATATATATTCTCACTTTAAAAGGTATAATGTTTTCTGTCTTTGAAATACTATGATGTCTTCGAAGTCGTATTTTCAGAAATTTCACATATTCGTCTTTGTTCGAAATGTTTATAATACTGGATCAACTTCTCCCAAATCAATAAAACCTAGCTGTGCCGTTGCATATTCCAGAATAGTAATGATATGTGGACATGCACCACTTTCTTGCTCTGTACTTGGTCTGTCCCCTTAAGATAACATCATAGCCGTCCTATGACCATGACGTCCACGACTTCACCCTTGTGCAACTCCACGTATTGCTCTGTTTTCGGAGGCAACATCAGAAGGCCGTTGGCACTGCGCATGCTCATTAGCCGACTACTCATTTGGTTTCCTGTCAAGCAGAACATGGTGTTACTTGCTTTTTTGCATTCAAATAAGTTAGTTTTTTGTAAGCTATATATATGCTGTATGCCGTATATACACATATACATAACTAATTATGTATACCTGTGCTCTGTGCCCAGGGAAGTGGTTCCTGGTGGTGCCATGTCAGTATACAGCGATGATATTCTGGACGTGGATCCAACTTTACATCACAGGACAGCTGCCAAGAAAAGGACACATACGGATGACATCGCAGCAGAAACACAATGCAAGTCACAAGAAAGCAGTGGTGGATGAAGTACACAACTCAAGTACTGGAGTAAAAGTACAGATACCATAATAATACATTACTCCAGTAAAAGTATATTCCTTTTCAATTTTACTTGCGTCAAAGTGCAAAAGTATTTGTTTTTTAATGCACTTAAGTATTTAAAAAAGTACAGATTGATAAATGTTTATTTTGCAATTTTATATACTCCACTCTATATGATGTATTGGAGACTATTGATTTGTAAGTAAGAAAAAGTTATTTACATTTCATTTACAAAACTTGTCACAGCATCAAACATTAAATATATCAATACATCAATTTAGGATACGGAATTCAAATGTGCAAACGTTAAAAATGTTTATGCTTCATTTACATAGCCTTCCTTATATGGTATCAGCCCATATATGGGTTAATTTGAAAGCTTGGAGTGTCTTCTTTACAAAGAATCCTTTTGGTTTTTATATTCATAAAGCAGTAAAATTAAGCTTAGAAATGTATTCGTCCCACACACGAATTTCCGCCTAACCATTGCGAATAATTTTTACGAAGAATGTGTATTTTATATATTTTTCACAAAAAAGTCAAGTCATATATCACAAGAAAGCTCTCATTCTCAGGAATTTGACGATGTAGATTATTTCATTGTGTGACAATCACAGATCGAATGATCTTCAATAGAATCGCGATGTAAAATTTTGTCACCTCTGAGCGAATTTACATTTATACTCGTAGCACTGCTTCAGTCAGCCGCAAACAGCCACAAATATCTATATACTCTATATTATCTTTTAGATTAGGATCTCTTCTTTCAAACAAGATAATTTTCACGTTTCTGCGTGCTTCCATCAGTGAGATATATAGCGTTTTGTCCAGGTACAGAAAAAGACGCTCGTCTGAAAACAGCCGCTCTTCATACCAAAAACGCGCACGGCCAGCGCGTCTGATGTTCTATAGATCTGTGGTCGCTTCTGGACTGCAATTGGCCAGATTACAGCCTGTCAGCTCGGCAGCCATTTCAGAGCCGTGAAATTTGACACCTCTGCGTCACTAGAGGGGGGAGAGGGGGGTCTTCACATC